CAAGATATCCATAAATTGATTGAAGTGTAAAAAATAAAACTGTTGAAGAGGAATTTGATCAAAAATATATATATATATATATATATATATATATATATATATATATATATATATATATATATATATATATATATATATATATATATATAACACAATAAGTGTCAAATTGAATATTTTTGACTTTTATTTTATTGCTTATTTCTTTCTTAGTAAATAATTTATGTGATCGAAAACCTAATGTTAGTGTTTTATGCTGAAAAGTTTTATTATTTTGGGAAAGTTTTTAATAAAATCCTAAAAAAAAAGTTTTTAATAGAAAAAAATCACGATTATTTAACATTTTATCCGAATTAATGAAAAAATCTTTTTTTTTTTAATATTTGATCAAGAAATAACAGAATATGATTTAAAAAAAATTTCTATTAAAAAATACTTTTAGGATGTTATCAATTTTTTTTTCCAAAATAATGTAACTTTTCCGCATAAAACCCTTTGAATATTTTACTAATAATCAATCAAATACATAAATACTATTTAATAAAAGAATCGGCCAAATTTATTATTATTATTATTATTATTATTATTATTATTATTTTATGTCAATGAGTTTCACAAACGTTTTTAATCAACAAATAATATTTAATTACGAATAAAATAAGACTTATAATTGTTTATTTTTTTCGTATTTCAAAATAATACATCTAAAAACTAAAATATAAATTAATTAGTTATAAATAAATGTACAATCATATCATATCATTACATAATATATTATAAAATAAATATTTTTTATATCATCATATATATGAAACCTTGGATTCTTTTTTAATTTCTAGCTTAATATAATTAATACATTAATTTAAAATATGTTATTGAGTATATAATATTATCTTATTGATCGACTTTTAAAATATTATTATAATACATTTACTTTTTAATTTAAATATTATAATCCAAAGCATAAATCAAAATATAAAATAAACTTAAAAAATATATTTAAAATAGTATTTTTCAAAACAATTAAAAATGTATATATATTATAAATATAGAACAACAAATCAAATTAAATATAAAATTTCAAAAACTATTTTTGATTATAATTCAATTTTCCAAATAAGTCGTTTTTAATTAATGATTAGGAAAAAAATTACATTTTATTAACTTACAAACAATATTTCATATATCAATTAATCATCACGATCGAAATTGAAAAAAAATAAAACAATAGATAAATAAATTTTAAATTAATCAATCATAAAGTTAAATTGTAATATTAAATTGAAACTCGTGTTTAGTTTTATTTAAATGCAAAGTGTGGGTAGATGTTATTAAATGTTATTATTGTGATGAATATATATTTTATAATATAATTCAAAATAATTATAAATTTTTATAATATAAGAATTATTATTTTATAGTTAATGTCTTATTTTTTTTTTTTTTTAATGTGTATAAAAAAATTTAAATTTATGATATTTACCTAGTTTTATGATATTTACCTAGTAAGAATTTACATCTGGATCCCTGTGAAATTATAGATTTGCATTTGTGTCCTATTATAATAATACATTTGCATCTGAATCGTTCTAAAAGTAATGCCTCTTACTTACCACGCATTTCTCGTAGAGTTTGGTGGTGGGGGTTGGTGGGAGAAGTTCACATAAATCCAGTCAAGTTGAAGCTAGTTAGGTACAATTCGTAATACGACAGTCAAATTCGCTTCAATTAATTCTCCGTTTTCGATCCAGGTATTCATCAGCACCTCTTTCTGTAAACTCGTGTACGTAATTCGTTGTATGTTGATTCTAATTCCCCAAATCCATTACAATGAGGAACTATCATTGTCAGCTTTTTTTGAAGTTCGGTAATCCTAACAAATGGATTAGAATTAGATCATATAGATTTATTAAAAATTTGAAGTATATTTGTCGTGTCGGTCTCTTTATGATGCATGTTCGCCGATAACATTCATAACAATGTTAAATGGTAAATACTTATCGATACTTGATAGGAAGAGTTTTCTGATAGGTGATGATAATGCCAGATGTGTTTATGGAACATTGAAGGAGAAGTATTTGATAATTCACACCTACTCCTTTCAGCACTTTTGACTTTCGATGCCAATAGTTTCAATTTTTCACTAAACTTTACAAAATTGATTTGGATTTTAAATTTGCGAGAAAGAATTGCCAACCACATAACTTTCTTTGTAACAAGTGCTTGAAATAGAGTAATAATGGTGTTAAATCTACAACATGATCCACATCAACTGTGAATTCGGAAGCTTGAAAGGTATTAGGTCTACTAACAAACTAAAAATGCAGCCTTTTATAAAGAGGTGTGAGTAAATCATAACTGTAGTTGATATTCGATATGGTTCTAAGGGAAATTTCATAGGGATGCTATAACTATAGCTTATGAATTTATGATGATTTAGTTTGAAATTGGAAGCAGAAATAGGGAAATGGATACCAATTTAATAATTTCTTTTGCAGCCAAGCTGATTGGAAGGGGTAATTCCGTAATTGTGTCCAGTTAAGAATATAAGCCTGCTGTTCATATTACAAAAGATCTCAACTTTCTGGATTTTGGATCACAGAAAGAATGGAGGCCACAGTTTCAAAGAGCTTACAATTAACAACATGGAATAGTTCAGATTATACAGTTCCAACACTGAACAATTCCATGAGGTTATATACAAGATATGAGAAAAATAAAAGTAAAAGAGTTAATAATATGCTAAATTGCAATCATTTGGCAACTATAAAACCAGCAATTGGGCATAGAACAGCAGGGTTAAAGGCTTCATGTACTTCTCAAAATTTTCCAGGTAATGTTTGAGGGTATATTAGGAATTTCATAGTCAAAGAAAGAAATGCAAGACACATTATTTATATGTAATAACATTCTTTTCTATATTTAATTTCTTCTTGTAGCTTCACTACTTAAATCAGAAACCTTTATTGCTGAAGAGGATCTGTTATTAAAGGTATATCATGTTACACCATGTGCATATTATATAGACTTTATAATTACAAAAATTCATTTATTTATTCTTGTTTGAATTGCAGAAAAAGTCTGAGGAGATCAAACCATGTCTGAGTGGAAGGTGTATTTATCTTGTTGGTCAGTTCTAATGACATTTTCCATCTTTAAATATTTCATTTTTCTTTTATTAATCTTATTCATATATTATTAATATTATTATTGTATGTATGTAGGAATGATGGGATCTGGAAAAACAACAATCGGGCAGATATTATCTGAAGTTCTTGATTATTCTTTTTTTGACAGGTTTGTGACATATTTTAATCCATTTTCTATTCAATCAAATAACCAAATAGGATAAAAAAAAATTCATATGTTTAGATGCCTACAGTGACAAATTAATCGAGCAAGCTGCTGGTGGAACTGCAGTTGCAGACATCTTTAAGTTACATGGCGAAGGGTATTTTAGAGATAACGAGGTTAGTTTTATCGTTTGCACATGAAATTACATTTTTACCCCTTCTTTCCTTCAATGGTATTGTACTTTTTTTAGACTGAGGTTTTACATAAGCTGTCATTGATGCATCGGCTTGTTATTTCAACTGGTGGAGGTGCTGTTGTTCGGCCTATTAATTGGTATGATTTAATGTTTTTTAATTTATATTTTATATTTTATGGGGTTAATTTGAGTAAAAAAAATATAACAGGAAATACATGCACAAGGGTATAAGTGTCTTTATAGATGTACCCTTGGATGCATTAGCACAAAGATTAACTGCTATAGGCACTGCTTCTCGCCCGCTTTTGCATCATGGATCTGGTGATGCTTACACACAAGTAAACATCTTTTTTTATTATTTTTTTAAAAAAAATTTATATAATAATTTTGCATATTAAATTGACAATTTATTAATGTCATTTTCTTGATATGTGTAGACTTTCATGCGACTATCGAAACTTTGGGAAGAAAGAAGCGAAGCTTACACTAATGCCAGTGTGAGGGTATCTTTGGAATGTATGTATATAATTTTTTTTTTCCCTAAATTTATAAAAATTATAAATTATTGATTTTCTTACGTATTTTTATAATGGTGTTCAGGTATTGCAGACAAGTTGGGAGTTGGAGATGTATGCAGTGTTAATCCAACTCAAATTGCAATTGAGGTGTTTAAATATATAAAATTTTAATTTTATGTTTTGAATTTTTTTTTTAGATATTTAATTTGTTATGGATTATGACAGGCATTGGTGAAAATTGAGGACTACTTGAAGGAATAGAAAGATGATTTTGGGTTGTAAGTTGTGCAATTAGCCTACAAAATATGGTGGGAAATAGAGTTTAGGGTTTTCACTTAGGATTTGGGGGATGTGTTGTGTTTTATACTGTTTGTGGGTAAAGTTGGAATTTTTTAATAAATTATTTTCGTTGTTGTATCATTTGTTTTGGTCTTCAAGAAATAAAGTCAAGATTTCTTTGTGCTTTACTTCATCTCACATTGGTTCATTTGAGTTGCTTATTTTTGTCACATTAAATTTTGTCTGAATAAAGTGATATCAAGATAAATAATGTTTAAAAAACTAAGATGATGACACTACACTTGAGGAAATGGAGAAAAAATATAGATGAAAGCAAATTATAGAAAGTTATGAGTTAATGGGAAAAGTCTCCATAAGTTACGATAGCAAGAATGCATTGGATTTTTTTCATCGACTTATATGCAACTAAGGCTCTAAACAAACCGAATTATCAATAAACCATCGTTCTTTAGCACCTTAACAACATACTTATACTTCTTTAAATTAATACTTTAGCACCAAGAACCACAAAATAACCCTCTTGTAGTTACAAACCAAGAACTTTATGGAAATATGTTGTATTAACAATGAATGATTACTTCAGCATATGCTATAATAAATTAATAACAAATACAATGAACTTTATTTGCCAAAGATTCATTCAACAATATAAGAGCTATAAAACAGTTAAAATTGTGTGAAACTACAAAGATCTATCATCTCTTATCACCTAACCGAAGCCTAGCTTCAATCAACCTAGCAGTGAATTCTCCATCACTAATCTTGAGCATATCCCACAATGGTACACAAAGCCCTTCCTCAACCAACAATCGATGCCTACGAATAATCTTACCCTCCAAACTATATGAAAAATACTGTGGAAACCTCTTCAAATCGCTTAAATCCCCTTTCATTTCATTCAGAAAGTAGCTGACTTTGGGCTTAAAATTGTTTTCGATGCTGAATGTTAATAACCCAGGTGATCTCAACACCATGTTAACCACTTCTTCATACGAAAACCCTAATCCAATCAAGAAATCCAATTTGGGCATCAGTGTGCCTTTTACGCTTGAAACCAACAGTAATGTCGTTTGGGAGGTGATTTTATCAGGACCCACGAACCCTAATTCTCTTAGAAATAACAATGCGGGTTTCAATTGATCTTCTACACTGGATATCAGAAGTCTAGGGCACCGAAGTATCGATTTGTGAATCTCAAAGTAAGGGAGACCCACGTCGTTTAACAGGAAATCGAATACGGGGTAAAGATCGGAGTGGGGATCACAGGAGAGAAGCTGAGGGTACATATCGAAGATACGCCCGAATTCCGAACGTTGGATCCCCATTGAAGAGAGACAATTCTCCACGGATTTTAGGGATTGGAGTGAAGTTGATCGGAAATTTGGGTTTTTTTGTAGGGCTTTTGTGGGGTTTACTTTTAGGGCTTTGAGATAGAGAATCTTTTCTCGGAAGAGCAGGCCGGAGTCGGTGGTGACCAACGGTGGTGGTGGTGGTGGTGCGGTGGTACTAAGAACTCCATTTTTAGGGTGTATTGAAGCTCTTCTTAGGACTTTGTGGTGGGTTTTGGCAAGGTTTTGAGGCGATTGAGGAGGTATTGAAGCTTGAGGAGGGACATGAATGAATCTAATTATCATCTGATAGTCGTTTGTGTGTGCGTTTTCAAAGGATGTGTTTCAATGAAGAAAGAAAGGGTCGAGTCATATAAAATATCATTTTGGTGAAACATTGTGAAGTTATTTGAAGTTAAAGGGTCTTTCTGTAAATTCGTACATCATTTTTTTGCTGCAATATTGTGAAGTGGTATGAAGTTGAAGGGTCTTTTTGTAACTTTCATAAACGAAAAGATAATAATCGGTTTTCTTTATGAAGCCATTCAATAAATTAACTATCCTTATACCCTTTTACCGCATATTTTGTAATGTATTAATGATGACATTTTATTTTTATGATAAAAACCTATCAAAAAATGTTGAAAAATCATCCTTTTTTTTATATTTTATTTTATATTTTTGGTAAAATAACACAAAAACACGTATAAACATAAAAATCAACATTATCATATTATCCCAAAACGTCTTAAAACTCATAAGAATTCATTCAAAATACTCTATCAAATAGCAACAAGAATCAAAATCTCTAATCATCCACAACAAGATTTTCCATTTCACTCACAAGTTCATCATCCGAAGAACATCCTAACCCTAACTCCAACTCCCTCAAACAACTCATCAAACCATTACTCGCATGAACAAAAGCATCTGAATTCCCCTTAATCTTCTCCACTTCCACCTGCATTTCACCAACAAAGCTCATCATTTTCTCAGAAGCACCTCTAATGGCAGAAACTTCTTGAGGGGGATAAAGACACGCTCCAATCTCATCCACCTGCAATCCCATACTTTTACAAATCACCAACAACTTCTCTAAAGAATCCACTGTTTGATCACTTTCATTTTCGGTTTGTGGGTTCTTGAGTAGACCCGTGATTGACCGAATAATTGCTTTGATTGTTGAAAGTGTTTCAGACACAACATTAATGGCTAATTCTGCAACTTTCATCTCTTCTGGTGACAAATCACTCCCTAAATCTCCCTCAGATGAGTTGTCACTTTCATGTGCATCATCATTATCTTTATCATTATCGGGTTTTGAAACCTCATTGGAAGTGGGTTTTGAGACCTCATTGATAGTGGGTTTAAGCTCCTTCATCTCACGAAGAACATCTTTTACAGAAACTGCAATTTGAGTCATGGATCGGCCTATGGCTGTAATGTTTGTTCCGGGAGTCTTTTTAAGAGCAGAACACGCATCCCAAACAGTGCCTACAATCTGAGGAATCGAAAGTTTATGTGCTTTACTGTTGTTTCCTGCATATTTGACACATATTATCAATGGAGATGTATTAAATATGTGTGTTTGTAGAAGAAGGAACGGGAAATTACCATAGGAAGCAATGGATTCTTTTAGCAGCATAAAGCTGCAATCGATAACCTGTTTAACAGATTCATGGATGCAAGCTGAAAGGGTAGTTCCTGCACCGATCTTACTTCCATGTGAAAGCAAAAGGAATCCTTGTAGCAAATTGGAATAAGACGCCATGGTTTCCTCGAGTGCTTTTGCATCAGGCCCTTCTCCGGTCCAAAGCATTCCGACTTCACAACACCACAACCACAAACCGTTAAACAATCTATGTTCAATAAATGAAACCAAAAGTCGAAATCTCAAATCCAATTGTCAAAATTTGAGAGAAGAATGGAATCACCAGTAGTGGCCTGTTTATAGAGATGTTCGCCCAATTTGACGACGTCATCCCAGCTTCCTTTATCGAGCGAAGACGGCGGAGTTTGATTCAAAACCTAGAATCGGTTTCTGATAGTGATCAATAATATAAAAAGGATTTCTAAATCGAAGAGCTCCGATTTCTTAGAATTGTTGGTAATAATAGAAAGTAAATTATACCTGGAAAGTTTCGTGGATGGTGTTAAGATGGTGGACTAATAACTGGTTCAGCCGTTCTTTGTCTTCTTTGCTCATCTTCTCTTCTCTTCTCTTCTCTTCAGCTCTCTCTCGGCGTTCTTGGGGTTTTGGGATTTCAGGAAGTCAACATACACCAAGAACCCTCACACAGAGACTAGGTTATGGCTATCAATTTGTTTTGGAAATAGTTGAGTATTAAATTATAAATGTTACAAAATTTCGTCTTAAAACACTTTTTTAATTAAAAAAATTTATTTTTATATATAAAACCACCAAACATTTCATAAATATTAAATTGAACTAGGTTTGGGCGATTTGATCAAGTAAAAGGGGAATCTATATATTTTACGTTGGATCTTTTGTAATGTGATTATGTGGAAAATAGTTATATTTTTTTATTCGGTTTTATGGTTTTGCAAGATTGGTCACATAATTTTAAAAGATATAGCATTAGAACATTCTAAAAAATAAAAATCAACTATAATTATTAAATGATATGCAAAATGACGTTCTTTTTTTTTTATTCCAGTTGCATCGGGTTATTTTTTAAGTTTGATTACAACAAAAATCAAACAAAACATAAATATTCACTTTCTTTTTCAATTCATTTGATTGAATGAGTTAACCCATTAAATGAGTTGGATTAGAATTAAAACTTTCAACATGTTTACAATCCATACGTTTAAAACTTTTAAATGAGTGTTTAGGAGTGTTTCTCAAATTATCTTATTAGTTTTTCAAAAAACTAATAAGTTACAAAAGTGTTTGAATTGTTTAAAAATGTTTTTTCAAACAATTTTTTGGATCGTCAAAATAAGAAAATTTCAAAAAACTACAAAATCCTATTTTTTTTGATAACTTTTTAGTTTTTTCATATCATTTTTTATCTCTAAAAAGCTAAATCAAACACTTTTTAAAACCAACTTATTGATTTTTTAGTTTTCTCACCACAAAAACTAATTCAAACACTTTTTTAAAACTTCTTGAAAAAACCATAAGCCAATAAATACCTTTTTTTAAATTACCAAAATCACCTTTAAAATGAAAAAACATTTCCAAACACATCCTAAATATATTTTAATTTTAGTTTATTTAGTATTATTATTTAATTGATTACTATATCTTGATAATTTTTTATTTATCAGAAAACAAAAAGATATAGGTTAGTAACCGTTATTGAGAATCGAGTTGTTAAAAGTGAAAGTCGAATTAAGTATAATTCATGAATTAAACATTCATAATGTTTTATGTTATAAATACTTGATTTGTGTGATGAACTTATAGACTTTGATTGTATTATTTTTTAACTTTAACAACTATTATATTTTTTTAAGTTTTATATAATTTTATTTTGATTTTATGGAATGAATACGGGTTCAACCTCAAAACGGATCAACCGATTGAATTGAAATTTCAATAACCCATTATCAATCCTAAACTCCTAGTAATATATAACAAAAACTTGTTGCTTCCTTTTGAACCCAAAAGGCATACATACGAGCCCGATCCAAAACCCCAAGCTCTTGTATACGCGGGATGCCAAAATTTTGTCCCGCCAAAATTCTAAATCTCTTTATACTTCCTCATCAATTCTTCTTCCCGTGAATCTGTTTCAATTTCTGTTTGAGTAACCCTGATTTTTTATTTATTTCGCCTTACAGTTTTCCATAATTTTGTAAAATTAGGTCACAATAAACACAGAGATCTGGGTTTTGTATCCTTCATCTTCAAGAGATAATCATGAGCGCTGTGAATCTAACAAATGTTAGTGTATTAAACAATCCAGCTCCCTTCCTTAGTCCTTTCCAGTTCGAAATCTCCTATGAGTGCTTGCTTTCTCTCAAAGACGGTAACTTCATATCCATCTAAGCTACTTCTGTCAACATATTCCTTTGTTGCCGTTCTTTTATCTCGAATCGAATCGAGGATTTGTATGTGTTTCGATGAGTTTCGTGTAGTTTTTGGGTTCCGTTTCATGAATTTCTGTTATTTGAACTTATTGATTTGAGTAGAGATCAATAGAACAATTATTAGCTCGAGTTTCAAATCATGATTTCTGTTCATCTACTTGATGTTTGATGCATATCAGTACCTGATTTTTGGTTTAATTTTGTTTTCACAGATTTGGAATGGAAACTTACTTATGTGGGATCTGCTGAAGACGAAACCTATGATCAAGTTCTCGAAAGCGTCCTGGTTGGGCCAATTAATGTTGGGAACTATCGCTTTGTCTTTGAGGTAACCCTAAAATTTCATACTTTTTTTGTTCTAAAATCATCGAACTAAATCAAATCCATTTTTAGGCAGACCCTCCAGATGCATTAAAAATCCGTGAAGAGGATATAATCGGTGTTACAGTTCTGCTATTGACATGTTCATATCTAGGACAAGAATTTGTTCGAGTAGGGTACTATGTAAACAACGATTATGAAGATGAACATTTGAAAGAAGAACCTCCACAAAAAGTATTGATAGATAAAGTTCAAAGAAATATTTTGGCTGATAAGCCTAGAGTCACAAAGTTTCCCATCAATTTTCACCCTGAAAATGAAAACATCGAGCAATCTGAACAGCAGCCTAATCACTCACCTGAAATTGAGAATGAACATGAAGAACATCAACAGACTGTTGCTTCACCTCAATGTGAAGAGTTGAATCCTGTTAATTCTGAAATGAAATGTGTTGATGGAGAAGAAACAGGAACAGATTTGTTACAGGATCATCAGCCTGCAGTGGTGTCTGCTTGAAAAGTTTTCTTATTTTCTTTTAATTCAATTTTTTTTTTTTTAAAGTTTATGTTTTTCAAGAACAAAAGATGTCATGTTTACTATGGTGATATTATATTTAGATATCCTATATTTTATATCTTTCTTTGTCATTTGATAGTTTGGTGCTTTGTGGTGTTTGTGAAGTTCTCATCGGTGTATCTTCTTTATCAGTTGCATAGATAAAGTTGATTAGCCTATAATGGTGGCATATGTTTGAAAAAGTTGTGTATTTTAGAAATTATAAGTAACACCTTACCTTTTAAATTTTGATTTGTCTTTATTTTCTCAATACATGCCTATTTATTATACTTTCTGAAATAGAACACAAATGTATACCATAATATTGAAAAAGATAGAATACTGATAACGCAATCTATGATATGAACTCATAACATTTCCGATTGCAAAGTTATTCCGCATCATATCTTTCTCATTTTATAGGAAAATTAAAAAAGAAATTAAATATCTTTTTAGCTTTTATTCATATTTTTCTTCCTATTTATTTAAGATTATGACAAATATATAAATTTCATTCCAATCAAATTTAAATTAAATTCAATAACATTTTTCACCATTTAAAATAGATAGGAAAATAATAGGAACAAAAAACAAGAAGATATTTAATTTCTCAAATTAAAAACTACAATTATAACCAAGATCAAGAACCCGTTAATACTATGTGGCATGTACCTAAAATGTAAAGTTATCATTGAATTTTGGAAACAAACTTTGCTGTCAGTCAACAAAAGCATTTTAGTATGTTTACCTTATATCTTAGATTGAACTTGAATATATCAAATTATTTTTTGAAATTTTACACCTTTGGCTTAAATTTTAATTTATATTACAAACTTTGTTTGAGCTTTAAGTTTTATCATGAATTCGTCCCAAATTTAATTTAATTCATAAATTTATTTTTCTACACCTTTTAAAGAAATATTTAGAACATTTTACAAAACTTTAAAAAAAAATCCTAAATTTGTTTTACAACATTTTAAAAACGTTTCATAGATTTTTTAATAACTTTTAATAACATTTAAAAATAATTTCGTTAAAAATAAATCATATGAAAGTATAAATTTTTTTTTATAAAAATATAAAACAAGTTTAATTGAAAGTAAAAAAACATATATGACAACAAAAGAAATCTCAAAATCAATATCATATCTTGTTAAAATTGTCACCATAAAAATAAAGCCATTTGTTGGCAACTTGAAGATATCCTAAACTTTTCATAATTATGTTAAAAATATCACAATAAAAATAAAGCCATTTGTTGGCAACTTCCTTGAAGATATTTTTATTTTTATTTTTTTTTCCTTAAAAATTCAGGGATAACCCATGAATAACTACTTGTGTTTGACAAAATTGAAAACCGCAGCTTGCTAAAAACGAAGACATAAACTCATAATAATAAACAATATGAGAGTATGCAATATGAGATATGAGTTGCTCGTTATGGGATGAGCTGGACAGCCATAAACGGCGTGCTAGCAGGTGGAACACCGCCCCCTACTCGTTGCTTCTTGTTATGTTACAACTCGTGTTTGTTACCACCGGATGAAACGGCTATTATACCTTTTGATTTTAAACTCAAACGGTCAATTTAATAATAATAATAATAATAATAATAATAATAATAATAAAATCTTTAAAATTAATTATTCTTTTCCGATATTAATACCTATTATCTATACAATTTTTTACACATAACTTCTCTTTTTCTCTCTAAATAATTTCAATTCTTTTCAAAAAAATTATGGATCATTCCGACACGTCCGATGATTCAGATGATGATATTTTCTTCAAGATGACGTATCATTATTACACTACCGACCTGCTACAACCAGATCCAGCCCCGCTACTAACAAGACGTGTGATGCTAAACAAAAATTGCGAGAAAGGACACGAACATCTATATCGCGATTACATTGCGGATAATTGTGTATACGGGTCGAAGGACTTCAAAAGAAGATTTCGTTTAAGTAGGAACGTGTTCCTATGGATTGTCAACGCATTGGAAAGCCATTATCGCTTCTTTACTATACTTTTATACAAAATAAATACAAATGTACTACATGTTTCTTTAATTTTACAACAAAATATCTTTTTAAACTGTAGTTAATTTATGTTTAGGTATGAATTTTTTCTATTGAGATATGATGTTAGAGGTAGACGGGGGTTTACAATGTTGCAGAAATGTGTCGTGGCCATTTGTTTCATGGCTATGGGGCAGTCGCCTAACACCATGGACGACTATATAAGAATATCCAAAAGAACCTCAAGTGAGAGTTTGTATACATTGTCAAGGGGTATTGTTGAAACATTTGGAGACGTGTATCTGCGGAAACCTTCGTTGCATGATTTGCAAGAATTGTATGCGGCGCATGAACGTCATCGTCATGGGTTTCCCGGAATGATCGGAAGCATTGATTGCATACACTGGAAATGGAAAAATTGTCCGGTAGCATGGAAAGGGCAATACGTAAGT